GGCTGGACTCAAGGATCTTCCAAGGTCCCTTCCAGCCCTAATGTCTATGAAATCTATGAAATACATGCAATTAATGTGCATGAATAAACACCGGGGCTTATTGCTCCACGGTTTTTTGCTCCTGGGTGCTCCATTTGAACATGCATTCGAGAGCAAAAAAACTCCAGAGCATATTGCTCTGGAGTTTATTAGTGTGCAGCATGTGGAGCCCAGTCAGAGAAGCCCAGGCTGGCAGGGGACCCAGGGGTCAGCCTGCCAGCCTAGGGATGATCTGACCAAGCTCCACATGCTGCAGAGTGGCTGGCTGAGGCAGTAAATCTTAAGGATGAAAGAGCAATAGCAAAACTATTCCAGTAAATTTCCATTTATAGTGAAGCCCTGATTAACTGTCTACCAAACTTGTACCCCTGGACAAGGGAATCTTTTAGGGTTTGTGAGATTAAGGTAATTTCAGTCTGCTGATTAACTGAATCTCTGGTGGCATGATAAAATTTAGCCATTAGGCAACTGAATACTGTGTTCCTCAGAGTTTTTAAGTGGTACTCTTTTTTACTCAGACCTGATGCTGGATTCCATAGATGGTGAGAATACCTAGCTCTTAGCACTAGAGATGGTCAGAAATTTTCCAATTAAATATTTTGACAGAAAGTGCCGATTTCCCAAATGAGTGGAGTTTGATAGCTAAGTACTTACAAGATTTAACAAGATTAAATTTCTGAACTCAACAAGAAACTTGAATGTGAGTCTCCCACATCCCAAGTATATGCTCTACTCAGAAAGCTCTTGGTTATTCTGAGGTAGGCAAGTGTCTCTATCTGCTTTTTTCCCCCAAAAAAAAAAGATTTGGTTCTGCTCAAGTGAATATCGGGAAACTTAAAGACATTTTGAATGCATGTGGAATGAAAAAGCCAATTGCTACCCTAGTCTAGTAAACAGCCCCAGAGCAATTATTCCTTGCAAAGATATTTTTCCAGCTATTTTAGTTTGTTTAACGAAAGATATCAGAAAGAACCTTATCTGCCTACACCCTTAGACCAACAGCTTTGAAAAGAGGGGGACTTTCCTTGAGACAGGATTCAGTTACATAATTTTCCTTTATCAGTAAAAGGTAACAGAGTGTATTTTCAATTTAAACAAAGTAAACTCAAAACAACAAGGAAAATGAATTCTGGTGAAAGTAGTTTGGCAAAGGAACTTAGATCTTTGTTAAAGGTCTGCCAGAAGGAAATAGGAAAAAGTTATCATGTTCCATGCAAAGGAGGTATGCAAAGATGACATGGAGTACTTGTTTTTTGTTTTTTCTTGTTTCTTTTTTAAACAGGCACTAAGGTTTAAATTTGTAAGTAGAGAATGAGAATCAAAGATGAAGCCTTTTTAAAGTAGATATTTCACTTTAAAACAGCAGGAAAAGTGTGTGTTCTCCCTCTCCTCCCACCACTTTTTCCTTTTCTTTTTTTCCTGGCAGTTTCTTTGAAAGACCCAGAGGACTGAAGAC